GCACGGTCTGCTCCTCCTCATGGCCATGAGCCCGTCAGGCCGAGAAATGGAAGTATCCTTTCAGTGATGACGGCGCCCGGAAGAGATAGGGAAAGGGAAAATGGTAGCATGACTCAAACCCAAAATGATTGTCGCGGGAATGGGTCCACGGACTTCTCTGTGCCGGAATTGAATGGGGCTGTGGCTGCGACTCAGAGGAATGGCATATCCCCAACGTCCAGGTCGACTAGCCCTGGACCCATTGCCAAGGGGCATAGCACTTCATCCTATGACTTCGCATCTACTGACTTTGCTCCGGCTGCTTCGATGTTGGACGGCGCTGTCATCCCTCTTTCCCAAGAACCACCTTCCCACACAGAACACAACTATTCCTCTCCTAGCGCACCTATTCGAACTGACAGCGATACCCCGGTCTCTCCAACTAGCTCTCGACCACAGCGCCATACTCTTCAGGTGCCTAAGTTCAATAACAGCCGGAGGAATAGCCGCGATCTATCCACTCCCAATCCCAATCCCAATCCCAATCCTAATCCTCCTGAGGACAGTATTGCAAGTGGGGATCGACATACTTCCCCGACCACAGGCCGTCGACGGGCATCCCTCAACTTAGCCCGAAGGACCACGCGGTCGCTAAATTCTGACCTCCACACAGATGAGATCGCACCCGAAGAGGACGCTGCTCGATGGGCAGAAATGATCAAGCAAAAACGGGCTAGCAAGCGAAGGCGCAAGGAAGAAGAGGACGACGACCGCGTTATTATCGGCACCAAGGTTGATCAGAACCATGTAAACTGGGTTACAGCATACAACATGTTGACTGGGATTCGGTTTACGGTTTCTAGAACCAATGCCAAGCTGGACCGTGAGCTTACAGATGCCGATTTTGGAGCGAAACATAAATTCTCCTTTGACATGTAAGTCGTTCTCGAGTTCATGGCCCTCTATTCATTCCTCCACTTTTACTCACATGTTCTGTTTGTATAGAACCGGCAACGAATTGACGCCCTCCGCCAAGTATGATTTTAAATTCAAAGACTATGCGCCCTGGGTGTTCCGCCGTTTACGTGCGAAATTCAAACTCGACCCTGCTGACTACTTGATGTCCCTAACGAGCAAGTATATTTTGTCTGAGTTGGGTTCTCCTGGCAAAAGCGGTAGTTTCTTTTACTTTTCCCGCGACTACAAGTACATCATTAAAACTATCCACCATGCCGAACATAAGCTCCTCCGAAAGATTCTGCGCGATTACTACGAACACATCGAGAACAACCCAAACACCCTAATCTCACAGTTTTATGGTCTCCATCGGGTTAAGATGGCGTATGGCCGAAAGATTCATTTCGTTGTTATGAATAATTTATTTCCACCGCACCGAGATATTCACCAAATGTTTGATCTTAAAGGCTCAACCATTGGCCGGGACTTTCGGGAAGAAGATGTCGAGAAGAACCCTAGGGCAACACTGAAGGACCTTAATTGGATTCGAAGAAGTCGTCGTCTCCAATGTGGCCCTGTCAAGAGAGAATTTTTCCTAGCTCAACTGAAGAGGGACGTGTCGCTGCTTCAACGTCTAAAGATCATGGATTACTCGCTGTTAGTTGGTATCCACGACCTGGGGAAAGGCAATGACGAAAAGCTTCGAGGTAAAACTCTCCAGGTTTTCCAGCCCGGTGGAGAACGGGGAGATGATCATCAACAGCCCAATCTCCTTATGAGAACACCCTCGAGACTCGAGAGCGCTCGGAAGGCCAGGGAGCTACGAGAGATAATCAAACGGGAAAAGCCGGTGCCAATTCAAGAATCTGCCGCCCTCCCAGATGAGATATTAGATGAACGGAAGAACCTTGTGTTCTATTCTGATGATGGTGGGTTTCGGGCTACCCATGAAAATGGTGAACCGGGAGATGAGATTTACTATCTCGGGGTCATTGACTGTTTGACACATGTATGTTTTTATTGGACATTATTATTAATATCCTACACCTCTTGCATGGAACTATGTTTAGCTAACTATCCTTAATTTATAGTATGGCATGATCAAGAAAGCGGAACATTTCTGGAAAGGACTTTCTCACAACCGAAATCAAATATCTCCAATCCCTCCTGTAGCATATGGGGAGCGATTTCTCAACTTCGTCACGGGCATCGCCATGTCGAAGGAAGAAGCTGAACGCGAAAGACATAGCAAAGAACAGGGCTACACGTCAATGGATGGCACGGCACTTCCTCATGCTCATCCAAGCTCCTCTATTGAAAGAGTCATGGAACGGGCCGAAAGAGATGCAGCCAGGGCTGGCAGAAATCTCGCGACCGATCCAGAGCCCCATCAACATATCTTATCTACCATCCGCTCCACCTCTAGCGATATGCCCGGTGTCACATCTACTCTACCAGTCGTGGAAGAGGTTGGGGAAGCTGCTAGTACTGGAAGCAAAAGTCGAGGGAGTGGAAGCAGCAGTGGCGAAAGGCTTGAATTGAGGGATAGTTACAACAGAAACCGGCAGGACGACAGAGCTATCGAAAAAATGGCCAATGGAGAAGCATGGAATTCTTCCGAATTCCGCACTGCCACGGGACCATCAGGTCCTCCTCCCCTACTTCCGGCCCCGCCACCGAAATCAGAACCTCCCTCGAACTTCGTTGCATCTGTGAAGGGGAAAGCAGCAATGCGGGAGCTCAGGGCTGACTCCTTTCTCTCTTCGTCAGAATTGAAGGAGCTCCCTCCTATTCCTCATGATCTACCGCGACCGCCTTCATCAACGCCATTCCCCACGATGGACACTTCTCGATAATTGTTATCTCCTTTTCTTCTTCTGTTTTTTTAGCATTCACTTTTTGTCTTTCTCATTTTTTGTGGTTAAAAGATAAATTTCCTTTTGTTACATCCGTTACGCTGGCCGAACTGTGGCATTTTCATTCCATAAGATGCCCATATCATTGTCAGCACTCCACACACACTCACAACATACCCACGGATTTTTTTTTTTTTAACTGTTGTTAGTTGATTCCTTTTTCTTTGCGTTTCCATTTTTGGGAGTAAAAGAGGTGAACCCTAAAAATGGGCCGTTTGTTTTTTCATAACTTAATATTGCTTTGTTTATATCTACAGCACAACAAATTCCTGGAAAAGGCGTGGATTGTTTCACGCAAATTAGCGTTTTCCTTGGGGTTTTCTCCTCCTCACTTTTCTTTTACTTTTCCATCCCGTCTAATTCCATTTTAGATATTATTGATATCATATGTGTTCTTGCTAGTCTTCTCTCCCTTTTATTTTCTCTGTTTTCTATTTTGTCACTATTTTTCCAAACGAAAAGTACCCAGCATCATCCTCTTTTTTAGAAGACCCGATCGACAAAAGATCCAAAAAAAAACCCCCCCAAAACTCTCATTGTGGGAAAGGCACCAGCAGATTTTATGCCAATTTGGATTCTTTCCTTTCTCTCTCTCACTTTTAAAAAATGTTTACTAGAGCCCTTGTTTAACACCAATTTCTTAACCATTTTTTTTTTCGTTTGTTCTTTCTGGGTTTTGTTTTAATACCTCTTTTTTGAATGGGATATGCCACGACTGATTGATTATTATCAGGAAGCAAGGGGAGATGAATATATTATATCACTTGGAGTGAAGCGGGGTATTCCCTATACTTTCCTTCTTTTTTTTTTTACTATTATTAACTTATCATGCTTATCCTATTCCATTCCCTCTTGTGTGTTTCTTATTGCAACCTCGAGTACAATGGCTTCACCGGCCCTATCTGCATATTTTCCTAGTTTTTGCTTTTGGGCTTCCTTTTTATTTCCTTTTGTTTCTGTGCATTGTGTGGGTCTATTGTGGTTTTTGTGTACTTAGTTGATATTCCCCCACGGTTTATCATCTGGTATTTCTTTGCCTCCTGTTGTGGTGCAGTACTGTAAACCAAAGTTATGACTATACAGGACGAAGGGAAGAAAAAGTAAAAATCAAACTCTGGATCTGGTCTTTAAACTGTTTCTTGGTTGATATTTGTGATGCTTTAAACCAGAATGCTGGATGACTGATTCGTTCTTTTCGATGCGGACAGACGGCGCCACAAAGCAGCAGCGTTACGAAAACCTATGTTGGAAACGACCCTCTCCCTCCATCTGGGTGTTCGAACAGATGGTTCTATTTTGCCATTCGAAGACGCACGAATAGAGGCGGGTACATTTCTTAAAAACCTACATTCCTCTCTCTTCCGTACGTTGGCATATATTATCAGCAAGATACAGGGAAAATAAAATATGAAATGTATCCCCCTTACCTACTCCCAAACACTAAGAAAGAAGAAAGGAAAGCCAAGGCAGGACAAAAAAGGACATTGTGTTAAAATATCCTGAGGAAAGGGGCCGAGAAAAGGAAGTTCAGATGAAAAACCCTAGTCTTCCTTTGCTCATGGTTCCAGGAAGTCCGATCTATCCCACCTCAGCCTTGTTCCTTTTTTCTTTCCCTGTCGAATTGACTGTTATCGACGTGTATCTGGGAGACAAAAACGTTACGTTATATGTTCTGGATTTTTTTCAAGGGGAAAACTTTTAATATATCGCTTCGAATACAGAGCCTATTCAACCCTAGACCCAACAATTTACACAACTCACTAGCGCGTGTGTGAGTGAGAAAATGAGTGGTTGATAAGGTTGAATTTCAAGACATGGTATCTCGCCTTGTGCTCCACCTTGCGTAGCGAACGAAGTATGAATGAATGGAGAAGGGGAATGGATTCAGGGGGAGTTAACATCTATCGATCTTGATTAATTGCGAAAGGAAAGAGGATGAAAAATGGATAGAAAGAAAATTATTGCTGGTATTTCTTTCCCTGAGTATGGTAGATTGGAATCCAGATAAAAGTAAACTGCTATCCACTTCGTTCTGGGGGTGGAAGCTGTTGTATTGGGTAATCCAGATTTTGAACATCATATGGTCAAGGGAAATAAACAAAGGTATGGGAACAGTGCAATTGGCAATCAATTATGGGGTGGGCACCTCTAGGAAAATAATCCCTTGCGCTGTGGGCTCCGAAACGCTTCAACTGTCTGCATTCCACTTGCCATACCAGATAGCACTCTGTCCATGCCATCGAGATCCAATTCGCCCTTCTTCAGTCTCGACTGGTCACCCTCAATTAGGGCCTCTGCGTTCCTTTGGGTATCTGACCCAGGCTTAACAGCTCCCTGTTCTGAAGGTTTCTGTGTAAGAATTATAAGCTGATGCTCAGCCGTTATTAAAACATCTGGTTTAACATTTTTGGTGCCCTTTGCTGTCGTGGAATTATGAATAAGCTGAGCGATTCCATTTTGAAGTTCCCCAAGGAGATTGACATTCTCAATTGGAATTGGTTTGCTGTGACTCGACGGATTGAATGTACCATTGGGTTTGGCGCTGTTTCTCCACAAAGTCAGAAGACTGGCTATCCATATATTCTGACTTCCGTGCCATATGACAATCGACTCATCTGGAAGCCCATCCTTTGAAATCTTTGTAGCCAATACAGATATTCCACCTCGCGTTGAGGATGTTGATGGGTTGTTAGCTGAGGAGCCTTTGAAGAGCGTATCTTCTCTAAATCTTCTGGTAGACGGGGTCATGGGTACGAAACTAGTTCGATTGTCTGCTGTTGGTCCAGATGTAAGAGGTTTAGTCGCCGATATAGGCCCAGATATAAAACCGGAGACAGCAAACGATGTCACTGAGCCGCCTTCGGTAGATGAAGTACTTTGATTGTGGGCAGTGCTTGTGAAGTCTTTGTTTCCCGGGCATGTTCCTTCGGGATCCCAGACACCCCACGATCCATCCGAGAGAAGAGCCATAATGGCTTTGCCTCCAAGCACCCATGCTGCGTCTACTACCGCCATCCGTCGGGGTATTCCACTAGGAGACAGACAGAATTCTGTAGAAAGCGTGACTAACCAAGTTCCCTCAGATTCCTTAGGGGCCCCATCACTGGACCACGCCCTCCTGTCGGCAACAGGTTTTTGAGATTTTGATGCCAGACAGGAATAAATCTTAACGCTGCCACTAGCAAATGATACAAGCAGATGAGAATGACGTTCAGAGGGATATTGGGAGGGGTTGAATGAGATAGCTTTTGCGGGAGACGGGAGCAGTAGATGTTGCACAGGGAGAGCAGGTTCTGAGGGTAAGATCTGTGAATCTTTGGACTGGCCTGGCTGATAAGTGATGGGAACTCGATAAATCGAAAGGGTGCCAGATCCTTCGGCGGAATTTACAGCTACTAGAAGATCCCAGGCGCCATCAGATTCTGCATCGGGGTTGCTCTTAGGAGTGCGGTTACGACTCTGAGACCTGTATCGACTGCTGCTGTCACTAGGGTTTCGTGCAGTGAAAGTTACAGCAATGCCTGCTGGGATAGCTTGTATGGACCCAGCACTGATTGTGACAGATTGAAGTCCCCACGATGAGCTATCTTGGGGGTTTGGAGGTGTTAGCGGTAGTGCGAGAACTCGGATTGAACAGTCTGCGCAAACAGCTGTAATAACAGCAATGTTGGAAAATATCTTCGGATATGACTCTAGAGTCGATCTGAGTTGTTCTGAATTGAAAGTGGGCACTGACAGGCCTAACACTTTTACTCCAAGTTGGATGTCGATATGCTGTAGGATGTCGTGAAAAGGTCTTGACAGATCAATTTCGTCCTCTTCGTCTTCGAATTCCACGGGTGGCGCAGCCGCATTTTTAGGGTCTGGAGCGGGTATTTCGTCATCATCGTCTGAATCAATAATCATAATAACATCATCTTTTGAGGTTCCGTTCGGGTTTGGCTGTTCTTGCTCCACTGGCTTGGGTTGTTGGGGTTTGAACGCCTTCCCACCTCTCCATAAGATCCGTATCCCACGATCGTGACCATATATTATTAGAGTAGAGCAGTTACCGGCCTGGATAGGGTATATTTTGGTGTCATAGACTCGGTGAGGTTGCTGGTAACTATTTATCTCTTCAGCACGTAATATCCGGGAGGGGAATATACGAAGATAGTTTAAGATCTGCTGAAACACCTACCTTAACTGTACACCATTTTCTCTCTGGAGAACAACAGGGTCTAATGGGAGACCCAACATCGCTTGTTCCCCCTGTTTGCCAGCTGAAGAAGGCGGATAGAACAGGTCTTGTAGGGACCCAACCGTAGTAACCTTGTTAAGGTGATAGCGCTGCAATGTGCAATTGCTACCTTTTGGACGTCATAAGAAGCGCAAATTGTGTTTTTGCATTTCTCGTGGTGTTTGATCTGTGTGCTGTCTTTCTGTGAGATAAATAGATGTTGAATGGTGTTGATGTAGAGATAAAGTTGAAGAGTCGCCACTAGAAGTCGCGCTTCGCGTCTATTTAACTAACAACCGCAAAGACATCTTGAAAATAAGCGGCTAACTTAGAACCACGCCTTATACTACACCCAACCTCGAATTTTCTACCCATCAAACCTCCTCTCTTTACGCAATCATGGGCATGCTCCAAATCCTGTTCTCACCGGCTGGCGTCGCTTCGGCAGAATATTTCCCTATGCTTATTTGATAATGGCCTCAGTCCGCTCTTTAGGTCTCCACGAGCCCACTGGAATACCATACCTAGTGGCCGAGTCGAAGCTTCCAGCGAATCCGTCCGAAGACCAGTTTGTGTGGAAAACCTGCAATGTTGACAATGGAGCTGGGAACCTGGTGGAGGAGGAGTTAATATTTACAAATGACTGCGTGGTGTGGTCTCGAGGCGGGGTCGTCAAAAGGGCCTTCAGTTTTGAGATTGAGAAGGAGGAAATAGTAGACGCCCTATTTGCTACCTTTTCAGCTAGTCTTACCAAAGGACAATACAGAAAGGGGGCAGGGAAGAGTCTAGCTGTCGACAATGCATCTCGAAGTGGACCTGCCACTGTAAAAACGAAGCTGAAAGGGAAGAAGTATCACCAAGAGAGAAATAACGCGATATCAACACCCGCAGAGGTAATTTCCACACTTGCTACTGGTGATGCAAATGTTGAAAGCATTCTACCAAGGGCGCTGGTTGTGGTTTTGAAATCGCAAGCACACATATTTTTTGTCAATGGCGACTCGCACATTTTTCCTCTTCCCTTTGAGGTTGATGCCGTGTGGGCTTCAGCGCGGGGTCTCCTGTTCCAGAGGAAAATCAGGGGAGAGCACAAGAAGTTTGTGCCGGCCCCTCCTCCCAATTCTTTTGTATCATCGCAGACCGTACATCAGAGATCATTTACACTTTCTGGGGGAAGTGGCGCTCGACCCTCCCTTACCTTGTCTCCTGCTCAGCCCTTGAAGTGGATTCCAAAGCTAGACGACAATGTTTTGCTCCCCCGAGTGTTTTGCCTCGTGGACCCCCATTCCGAAATGGGATTGGTTGTCGCTGCTAATCCATCTGTAGCATCTCAAGACAGAGGATCAAATTTTGAAGCCCTTGATTGCGAGGAGGAAGTATTGTACGTCTCCGCAAGGAATGAGGTCACAATGACCATGTCTAGAGCAGACGAGGAATATCCCTTATTATTTGTTGTCACATTAAATGAGAAGACGGGAATGTATACCATCTGGACTGCTCGATACAGAGACAGAGATTCCGCTCTTTCCCAGTCTAAAAGGCGAGCATCAACTACAAGTGGAGCCTACTCGAAGCGACGGAGCTCCCATTTCGATATGACGGGTGTGAATACACCAGTTGGTCGGGGGCCATCCGGGCTCCGCGAAAGCTTTGGTGGATTAGGTCAGGGCCGATCTGTTTCGGACATGTACCGACCGAACCAAAAGCATAATGGCGATGAGGAAGAGGATTTGGCGTTCAAACTGGGCCGCGAATTTGACGATATAGGTGCTTCAATGAGGGCATCAAGAAGAGTGAGTTCATTGCTTGCACGGGCTGATCTCGGCTCCAATAATGACAGAACAACATTTTCGGAATTTGTGACCGGAAACCAGAATGCTTCGTCATTTTACGGGGCTAGGCGGGGAGAATCGTTTGGTGGGCAAAGTTCGCGTGCAAGCTTTGGGTTCCATGCAAGAAACTCGTTGCCTCCAGGGAGCACCTCAGTGTATAGTAATGGCAGTAGTTTTCTCGATGCCCCCGTTGACAAATTCTTAGAAAGCCTCAACAACGGAGGTGACTTTGAAGGATTCGATAATATGGGCCTTAGAGAGACAATTTCTGGTTTACCAAGCGAGATGATGCTTGCGAAGGTTGATAGTTTTCCTTCCGGATTATCAACCACACGCAGTGTCCCGAATTTCTCCAAAGGCCAGAAATTTGAAGTGTTTACAATTTCTTCGTACCAGGACGCCTCTCCGGACTTACCCGAATCCACATCTATTGCGGTTTGCATACTGAACAAGAATTCAAAGAACCTGTCTGTCGTAAGTCTTCTTGCGACTGAAACTTGTGCTAAACTACAACCTAAATCTCGTCTACGAAAGGAGAAGAGAAAAGCAGGTCTGGATGACCGAGGTTTCACTGTCCGGGCTACGACCATACGCCATGGCTCCAATGTAATGGATTGTTGCAAAATCGTCGATGGAGATATATCGCGAATACTCATTTTGTCCTCAACAATTGATGGTAAAGGGGAATTAACACTACAAGCACCATGGAGTACCCTTGTCAAAATTGAGCTACCCCCTAGTATGACGATATATGGGCCGCATGGGGTGTCCATTACCAACTCTCCGAATCGACCACGGGAAGGGAGCTTGAAGAGAGTTCTTAGTGATGGGTCGTTTAACCTGTGCGGTTTACGACATTCTACGAATCGGGGCAAGGTAGATGTTATTGACACGCAGGGCCGGAAACACAAGATTCAAATTCAGCTTGAGCCACATAATCCTCAAGTTAAGCTGATTCTTTCTGTTTGCAAATTCGTGTTGCGGCAGGGCGATAAAGTTGGTGATGGAATTCTTGTCGGTTGGTGGGAAGTTTTAAAGTGGTTGCAATCAAGGGAGGAAAAGGAAAATGATTCCAATTTAGAGTGGACTGCGATGGTGATCGTCCTATTTGCTATGGCGGTTTATTTTATCGAAGGTAATCCCTCCAAACCCCTATCTAGAAAAAGGCGGAGAAGGGGCGACTTCCTTCGATCTAGTAGCGGAAGTTCAATTGATCTTGAGAAATGGGATAGTATGTTGGACCAAGAAGCCGGATCCCGGGGTATTGCATCCCCCTGGATGATGAGTTCTGCATGGGGGTGGGCTACAGAAGGAGATTCGAGGACCCCGGAAGAAAATCCTTGGGCAGATCTTCGACCCGGTCTTGAATCCGGAGCCAATTCCCGAAAGAATTCTTATATTCTCCGTTGTGCCGCGTTATCCAGGGAGTTCCTTCTCTCTCCACAGGGTGAAGCAGCAATTGGTGCGGAGGGTTACCTTCCAACAGCTGTTTCTCGCGACCAAGACACAAGACGAACCGCTCTTGGAACAATATTAGTGGGGCTTCATCTACTGCGTGAGGAACAGAAGCTCTCTATTGTCGGTGCAGAGACTTCCTATTTGAAAACCGGACTCCTTGTCCCCGTCTTAGCGCAAATCGGTGGATGGTTGGGATGGAAGTCCTGGGATTGGACTGATAATGGATATTATGGTGTTGAGATGGCAAGCATAGACCGGTGGTTGTTTGAAGAATCCAGGATGTCAAATTTGGACTTGCCGGAAGAACCTTTCCCACCCCCCTCGATATTCTCCTTCATTGAAAAATCGCTGAACTACGAACAAGCAAATTTCTTGACAATTATCGACATTGTACCGAGCTCCGCTTCTGCTGCTGCGGGGAATTGTATCTTAGAGCAAGCTATGCGGCTCACACCACGAACTCTAGCCTTAAATGGGTTTATTTCTGAGATAAAGAAACAAACTACTGTTACAGAGCGAGTGGAGTTGCTCCTTCGTTGGGGTCTAACGAGCTCTGTAATTGATACTCTTCCAGACGGTATCAGTGCTTCTCTTCATGAAGCGATCGTTCGATGCCAGCCAGCGCCGCCTAATTATTGGGACAGCTCACTTCTCGCATTGGTCGACAGAGATGATCTTTTCATGTCAATGACGGAAGACGGGGCAAGTAGCCCGATGCCAATATCTCCGTTTATCCAATCCCACGATGCTGTACGGGACGTCCATTCAATTGGGAGCCAGTCGTTGGATGGAAACTCTGTTAGCTCGTTCGAAGTTTCAGCCGAAGCCGATAGACAATCCATAACTCGACTCATTTTCCGCGAAGATCGACGGTTTTACGAGGCCATTAGGATTCTTAATCAAATGAAACCTCCTCAGGCAGAATATTTTCCTGCTCCGGGTTTGTCTGAGTCGGAAATACTTGAGGCTCAGAAAGATTTGGTTCAGCTTGTGGTTGTGCGAACTTTGTCAGTTCCTGCTGGAAGAGCAATGATTGGATTTAGTGGCAGAGTACCACTCTTGACGGAGAAGTTGCCAATCCCTGCGTTTTCTTTGCAGTGCATTGTAAAACCGTCTAATGTGACAATTAGCGCCGACAAAACGGCTTTCTCTGAGGATAAAGTTTGCTGGGCATTCTTTCATAATGGGGCATCGACTGGACTGGCAATTTCAAGAGCTGCTAAGGGCATCGATACATCCTGGATCTTGTATAACAAGCCAATGGAACTGACAAATAGGCATGCTGGCTTTTTGCTTGCGTTGGGTTTGAACGGGCACCTAAAGTCTCTAGCGAAATGGGTCGCCTTTAAGTATTTAACTCCCAAACATACGATGACCTCGATTGGTCTTCTGCTAGGGCTTTCCGCCTCATATATCGGCACGATGGACACTCTGATAACACGTTTACTTTCGGTTCATGTAACCAGGATGTTACCCCCAGGAGCCGCGGAATTGAATTTGTCTCCATTGACACAAACCACCGGAATTATGGGCATTGGGTTGCTCTACTGCAACTCTCAACACCGACGGATGAGTGAAGTTATGTTGTCAGAAATGGAAAATACCGAGCAGGAAGAGCCATCAATTTCACAAGAAATACTACGGGATGAGGGCTATCGTTTGGCTGCAGGTTTTGCCCTGGGATTTATAAATCTTGCTAAAGGTAATGATCTGAGAGGTTTGCGTGATAT